AAACAGATTAATACATAATAAAGTAATAGATAAGCAGATGAAGAAATGAAAAACACTGTCCAAAAAAAAACGAAACTAAAGAAAAAAAAATAATCTAATCAACGATGCCACAAGCTCTTATCACACACGCACACACACAAAGATGCACGCACGCGCACACACACATACACGACACACACGCACAACACACACACACACACACACACACACACACACACACACACACACACACACACACACACACACACACACAACACACACACCCCCCCCACCCACACACACACACACACACACCCCACCCACACACACACCCACACCACACACCCACCCCTCCCCCAAACCCCCTTTCCCCACCTCTTCTACCCGCCCTCATCACCCTCCACGGACAAGGACGAACAAAAACTTACATCCTGCGGCTTGCCTTTGTACTTGGCGATGCTGGGGTGGTCGGGGTCGATGTCCGGAATGACGCAACCGGGGGTGTGGATCAGAAAGTGGGGCGATTCCTCCACTGCAAGGGAAAATGGGTCTTGTGTGAGGGGTGGAAAAGGAAATCGAAAGGCGAGGGGGGTGGGGTGGGGGGGGGAGAAGGAGGGAGGGGGGTAGTGGAATATCGGGGATGGTGAGGAATCATCAGATATGATAGATTGTTATCAATTATTACTATTCATCGTTATTATATCATTTACTGTTTACTATCCATTACATAATCATCGTTATCATTACTATTACTATCATTATGAAAATCATCATCATTACTACCACTATCATCATCATACTCATCATCATCGTTAATATAACCATCATCATCATTAATCATTTCCTAATTATCATCATTTCTATTACAATCATTATCAAAATCATCATTACTATCACTATCATCATCACTATCATTATCATAATCATCATCATCACCATCATTATCATCATAATCCTCATAATCTTATCATAATCAGATCATCATCATCTCACTCATCATCATCATCATTATCATCACTATCACTCATCATAATCATCATTATCATCATCACTATCACCCATCATCATAATCATAATCATCATCATTATCATCATCACTATCACTCATATCACATCATTATCATCATAATCATCATAATCATATCATCACAATCATCACCATCATCATTCATCTTCATGACTAATCATTCATCATCCTCATCATATCATCATCATCCTCATCACATCGTCATCCACTATTCATCACATCAATCATCACCATCATCATCATAATCATCATCATCACTATCACTCATCTCACCATCACTCATCACCATCAAAATCAATCATCACTATCACTCATCATAATTCATCATCCTCACTATCACTCATCATTATCATCACTTTCCCTCATCACCATCACTCATCATCATCATAATCATCACTATCACTCATCATCACCATCACTCATCCTCATCATAATCATCACTATCACTCATCCTCATCATAATCATCATCACAATCACTCATCATCATCATAATCATCAGCATCACTATCACTCATCATCCTCATCACAATCACCATCATCATCACCATCCCTCATCCACCCCCCAAACCCAGACCCCAAGCGCAAGACACACGGCACCCAACCGGAGCAGGCGGTGCCGAGCAGGCCTAGGAGCGGCTCGGGTCCAGGCGCTGTCCCCGGCTGCGTCTCCGGCCGCGAGGAGACTGAGGTAGCTCATGTACGTTGCGACGGAGAGACCCAGCAGGCCGCAGAGGAGCCATAGGTGCCAGTTTGCCGCTAGAAAAAGGATTGGAGGATTGGGCGTTAGTGTGGAGAGAGGGGTGTTGAGGATTTGTATGGGATTCTGGGTTGGTGTTGGGGTTTTTGTTTGTTTTTGTTGTTTTTTTTATGGGTATTGGGGTTGTGTTTTTGTTTTTATGGTTATGGGGTTAATGTTTTTTGTTGTTTTTTATTGGTTATTGTGTTGTGTTTTTGTTATTTTTTATTTTATTTGGTGATAATGTGTTTGTTTTTCATTTTATTTTTTTTTTGTTGATTTTATTCTCGGCGTGAGATGTTTGTCTCGATATGTTTTGTTATTTTTTCGAATTCCCGTTATTGTTATTGTTTTTGTTATTTTTTATTTGTTATTTGTGATAATGTAATGATTCGAAATTTTGTTTTAATTCGTTACCTTAGTGTTATGTAATATTGTTAATTTTATTGGAATAATAAAAGAAAACCAACAACAACACATCACAATTAACAAAAAATCGATGTTATAGGTTATACTTTGTTATATATTTAGTCGGATAATATAATAAATACAAAAGCATAACCAATTAATCGAATTTGAGGAAAAAGAAAAAAATAACAAAGAACATAAAAAAACGACAAAATCAAGAATAAAAATAATAACAAAAAAATTACAATAATAAAAATCACACCAATTAGTAGGAGAAGGATAGAGAAGCCAATATAGAGTAAGAACGCAATTAAACGTCCAACATCGTACCAAAACGCGACTCGATGGTACACACGAACAGTACAGCTGTGATATGGAATATCACCACGATTGTGAGTGTTAAAATAGCTTTTGATTAGTTTTTTATCCGATTCATATGTGGTAATAAGTGGCGTATTTCGTAAATAGTTTTTTATTCGTGATAACCTCGAACCCAAGAGTAATGATTAAGACAGATTAAGTACCATTAACATTCATTACAATTGTATTTGTTTTATGTATATTTTAATTCATCTAAGTATATGTTTTTAACTCAACCTGTTCTGTATTTTATTATTCGCTCTATTGTTTATCCTCATTAGTGCGATTATTTAGTTACTGGTTTATTCCTGAGAGTGTAAAACAAGTGTTGCAAGAGATGTTTTATGAAGATGATGCTAAGGAAGGAATTAAGTACCATTCTTTACATCCAAACGTTATTGCTCCGATTGCACCGGAGTTCGATGTGAGTGAGTGAATAGTTTTTTAGTGTGAGTAGAAGGGAATGAATGATTTATTGGACCCCAAGTAAGTTTTTGTTACTAGTATTATTCAGTTGAAGATTGTATTGAGTGTTTTGGCGTGATGTGGTCATTCTGTACATATTGTGTCCATGACTTACAGTTATTCTTTTCATTCGTTATATGTGTCTGTGTTTTTTGTTATTTGTGTGATTATCATTTTTTTAGTTTTTGTTAGTGTGGCATATAATTTTGTCTTTGTGTTATCATTATTGTTTTCTTATTTGTTATTGTGTTTTATTACTATTATTTGTTATTGCATTGTTTTTTTTTTATTTGTTATTGTGCTATCCTTTTTATCATTTGTTATTGCATTGTTACTATTTTTATCATTATTTGTTATTGTCTTATTATTATTATTTTATAATGCACGTGTAGTAAGATTGACTATTAAAATATAGGAGAGGAACATGACTGATTAATAATGGTTATGATTATGATAATGGTAATAATAGTGGTAATGATAATGATAATATTGATAACAATAATGATAATAATGATAATAACAATGATGAATAAATGATAAAAGATGATAATGATAATAATAATAATAATCATCATCATCACGATAATAACTATAATAATAACCATCATCCTGATAATGATAATCATCATGATAATAATAATAACAGTAAAAATGAAAATGAGTTACCTTTCTTTAGTATCATGGCTGGCACATCACGTCTGAAAAGAATAAAGATAACTTTTAAGATTTTGATCTTTTTATGCCATTAGGTTATTCTCTCTCACTCTCTGTCTCTGTCTCTCTCTCTCTCTCTCTCTCTCTCTCTCTCTCTCTCTCTCTCTCTCTCTCTCTCTCTCTCTCTCTCTCTCTCTCTCTCTCTCTCTCTCTCTCTCTCTCTCTCTCTCTCTCTTCTATTCAATGCTATTCTCTTGTCTCTGTCTCCCTCTTTTCTTCTCTTTTTTTCTCTCTCTTCTCTTCTCGTCTCATCTCTTCTCTTCTCTTCTGTCTCTCTCTCTCTCTGCCCGTCCCCCTCTCCCTCCCCCCCCTCCCCTCCCTCCCCTCCCCCCCCCCTCTCTCTCCTCTCTTACCCCTTCCCTCCCTGCCCTTTTCCTCTCTCTCCCTCATATTTTTTCTTTCTCCTTCCCCCTCTCCATTTGTCTTCCGTAACCTCTTCCTATATCCTTTCCTTCCATTTATCCCCCATCTTTATCCTGCATGCCTTTTCCTCCCCCTCCCCTCTCCCTCTCCTTCTCCCTCTCCCACTCTCTCTCCTTCTCTTAACTATTCAGAAACTCTCCCACAACACAATATTATCTCACAAACCGACCGATAAGATAACATTCCCACTTAAAAAACAACTCTGTGAATGATGGGTATCATTGCCATATGCCAAGCTGGCTCCAGGACATCACAGCGCACTTGTTGCATAGTAAACAGAAATAGATAGGAGAAATAGACACCAAGGTACCTAGGACAAGGATATTTCCATCACATTCCCTGCACGGTAATTTTTCTTTCTTTCTTTCTTTCTTTCTTTGAGTTCTGATATTCCCGACTGCGGCAGGATCTGTTGTCGCGAATATTTCCACAGGAGAACGCGAAAATTAAAATAAAGGTAAATACACTGTTTTTTTTTTTATCATCATCATTATTGATTTATAGATTTATCGGTTCTATAAAAGAAAATCTAATAAACTCTAATAAACCTTATTATTATTTCATTTAAAAAAGTAAATACACTTTTTTATTATTATTATAATTATTATCAATTTATAGATTTATCGGTTTTATTTAATAATAATAATAATAATGATAAATAAACTCTAGTAAACCTTATTATCATTTCATTTATCACCCATGCATGCCAAGATACCTACGTACGTTTTGACAATAAAATACGTAATAATACGACTACACAACCTTTATTTCCAGTTTGATTGTAGCCTAACCTAATCGTCAGATGTTTATGAAACAAACATTAATAAACTCGACGACTTTTCCATTCACATAAACTTTGAAATAAGCTCTAGGTCTTTCCCGCTCATGTGGACTTCGAAAATAGGAATGATGATATTAATGAAAATGTTTATTAAAAATCATAATAAGGATAATCAAAATGATGATAATAAAATTGATAGTAAGAATAATCAAAATGGTGATAATAAAAATAATTAAATAATAATAAATAATATTAATAATGATAATAATAATCATAATAATGATAATAATAAATCATAAATCATAATAATCATAATAATCATAATAATATGATTGATATAATAATAATAATGATAATAAAATAAAATCATAAATAATAATAATCATAATAATGATGATAATAACAATCATAATAATGATAATCAAAATCATGATAATAATAATACTAATGATCATAATAATGATAATAACAGCAACGATAATGATAAAAACCACAAGCACCCAGAGAGCGCATACCTCTACCAAGGCAACAGGGTCACTGATGCCATAAAAATATTTACACGAAAAATTGATACGGTTCTTTTTGATACAAAATTGATACAAAATTGATACAAAATTGATACAAAATTTTGATACAAAATTGATTACAAAAATTGATAAGTGTGAATATTTTTTATAGCATTAGTGACCCTGTTGCCTTGGCGGAGGTATGCGCTCTCTGGGTGATAATTATTATCATCATTGTATTATCATCATTATTATTATCATTATTATCAACATTATCATCTTTTTTATTATCTTGAGTATGATTTTTTACTATCTTTATCCTGCATGCCTTTTTCCTCTCCCTTCCCCCTCCCCTCTCCTCTCCCACTCCCTCTCCCACTCTCTCTCCTTCTCTTAACTATTCAGAACCTCTCCCACAACACAATATTATCTCACAAACCGACCGATAAGATAACATTCCCACTTAAAAACATTTCTGTGAATGATGGGTGTCATTGCCATATGCCAAGCTGACTCCAGGACATCACAGCGCACTTGTTGCATAGTAAACAGAAATAGATAGGAGAAATAGACACCAAGTTACCTAGGACAAGGATATTTCTATCACATTCCCTGCACGTGATTATTTTTTTCTTTCTTTCTTTCTTTCTTTTTCTTTGAGTTCTGATATTCCCGACTGCGGCAGGATCTGTTGTCGCGAATATTGCCACAGGAGAACGCGAAAATTAAAATAAACGTAAATACACTGTTTGTTTTTATTATTATCATCATTATTGATTTATAGATTTATCGGTTCTATAAAAGAAAAAATCTAATAAACTCTAATAAACCTTATTATTATTTCATTTAAAAAAGTAAATACACTTTTTATTATTATTATTATTATCAATTTATAGATTTATCGGTTTTATTTAATAATAATAATAATAATAATAATAATGATAATAATAAACTCTAGTAAACCTTATTATTATTTCATTTATCACCCATATATACCAAGATACTTACGTACGTTTTGACAATAAAATACGTAATCATACGACTACATAACCCATTATTTCCAGTTTGATTGCAGCCTAACCTAACCGTCATAAACTCGACGACTTTTCCATTCACATAAACTTTGAAATAAGCTCTAGGTCTTTCCCGCTCATGTGGACTTCGAAATAGGGAATGATGATATTAATGAAAATGTTTATTAAAAATCATAATAAGGATAATCAAAATGATGATAATAAAATTGATAGTAAGGATAATCAAAATGGTGATAATAAAATTGATAATAATGATAATAATAATCATAATAATGATAATAATAAATTCATAATAATCATAATGACAATAATCATAATAACAATAATCATAATAATGATGATGATGATAATAATAATGATGATAACAATAATCATAATAATAATCATAATAATAATAATCATAATAATGATGATAATAACAATCATAATATAATCAATCATGAAAATAATCATAATAATGAATAATAATAAGCAATGATAATGACAATAAAAAACAACACCCAGAGAGCGCATACCTCTACAAGCAAAGGCCACTGATGCCATAAAAATATTTACACGAAAAATTGATACGGTTCTTTTTGATACAAAATTGATACAAAATTGATACAAAATTTTGATACAAAATTGATACAAAAATTGATAAGGTGTGAATATTCTTATAGCATTAGTGACCCTGTTGCCTTGGCGGAGGTATGCGCTCTCTGGGTGATCATTATTATTATCATTGGTATTATTATTATTATATTATATCATTATTATCAACATTATCATTTTGATTATCTTAAGTATTATTTTTTTACCATTCTCTTTTTCACGTACACTGTGACGTCCGTTAGGCTAATAAAATTTTAAAATGCCTGTTTTGGATCAGACACCTTTGGTAAAATTTCATTAAAAATCAATATTTTTTTCGAGTTATATTGCTAACCAACTGACCAACACACTATCCAACGCTACCTCATTGGTGGATGTGATGACGATTATTATGATATATGATGATGATGATGATGATGATGATGATGATGATGATGATGATGATGATGCATGATGATGATGATGATGATGATGATGATGATGATGATGATGATGATGATGATGATGATGATGATGATGTTGATATTAAGGATAATAATATATACTAATGATAATAATAACATCAATGATAATAATAACAACAATAATAATAATGATAATGATAATACTAAAAATTATGTTAGTAATGATAATGGTGATTATAATACTGATAATGATGATAACAATGGTAATGAGAACTATGATAGTAATAACAATAATAATGATAATAACAATAATAACAATAGTAATTATGATAATAATAATAAATAATGATGATGATAACAATAGTAATGATAATAACAATAATAATAGAAATAATGATGATGATAACAATGATGATAATGATGACAATAATAACATTAATGATAATGATGATGATAATGATGACAATAATAATGATAATAAAAATCATGATAATGATGATAAAAATGATAATGATAACAATAATATTTGCACATATGGGATTTTTTCACAAATACGATTTTATCTTTACAGAGAAACGATTTTTTCTTTCCACATAACGGATCCTATTTTTTTAATATTCAATTTTAATTTCTACGCGAATGTAATTACGCCGGATTTAAACATTATATACCTCCAAGTAATTCTTCGGTAATAACAAAAGCAAGATTTTTTTTTCTTTTTTTTTTTGGCGTCAATTTTGTTCTGCACTCTGACCAGCGACCAGACTCCCACACGGGGACAGGTAGACTAAGACTCTATTTTGCCTTCCTCTTGCAGTCCCCCTCCCCTCCCCCCCCTCCCCTCCCCCTTCTCACATCTGTATCGCCCCCCCCTAACTGGTCCAAGTTATTATCAATTATTCTCACATCTATCTTCACAAATCCCTTTTTACGATTATTTTCACATTTACTGCTACCATTATCATGTATGTTTATATTGCGAATAACGCTATTATTATCCTTATCATTTATTGTTATCCTGAGCAATGCTATTATTAGTAATGATAATATTGATCAAGGCAACAGTAATATTTAACGTATCAACAGGCAGCAAAAATATTGGAGATAATATTCAACATCAAAATCATGATAAAAATAGTAATAATGATAATAACTGGAGGATACTCAAAGAGAAAGAGAGAGAATGTGTAAGAGAGAGAGAGGGATTAGCCGAGCGAGCAGGCAAGAGAGAGAGAGAGAGAGAGAGAGAAGAGAGAGAGAGAGAGAGAGAGAGAGAGAGAGAGAGAGAGAGAGAGAGAGAGAGAGAGAGGGGGAGGGAGGGAGGAGGGAGGAGAGACAGACAGACAGACAGACAGAGATTAACCAAGCGAGCGAGCAAAAGAGACAGACAGCCAGAGGCCAGAGCCAGACAGACACACAGACAATCATACAGAGAGCGGGGAATGGTAACATCATTAGAACATCATAAAAGAACGTGAATGCTGTCAATAACCCCGTCGGCCGCTTTCACACCAAGGTGGCTCGCCCTTTGAAAGCAAACATCCTGAAATATGTGAAACCTTTCACACCGGTGTCATGGCGTCGCACGTGGCACATACAACCTGTCACGTCACTTCTTTATAAAAGGTTTCATATATTTCCAGATTTTCGAGAAGAAGACAATAAGGTAATAATAATAATGTGATGAGATAATAAAATAATAAATAATAATAATATATAATATAACAATAGTGATGATGAATAAATAAAATAATAAATAATAATAATATATAATATAACAATAAATAATAATAATATATAATATAACAATAAATAATAATAATAATATATAATATAACAATAAATCAACATATGATGTAATATAATGACATAAGATAATCACAACAATAAAGATATAATCAGAACATAATGTAATAATATCAGATAATAACATATTTCATAACAATAACAATAACGATAAACTCTGCTTGTACTTCGCCCATGATCAGTGAGCTCTCCTTGGCATCACGTTAAACACTGAATGCTTTTCGCTTGATGGATTCAACCGGTTTTCCTTTAGACTTAACAATATTCACTGAACTTTACTCGCATATAATTAATCCAGCCAACTGACTTGAATTTAGTCTTTATTTTGCTTTTATTTATTACCCCAAATTTTACTTGTTTATTTACCGAACTTGGCTTGCATTCACTTACTTACCGAACTCTACTAACAATCACTTATTTACCGAACTCCACTGTCGCTTTTAACGAATCCAGCTTCACTTATTTTCTAACAATCACTATTTACCGAACTCACTAACAGTCACTTATTTACCGAACTATACTAACAATGACTTACTTACCGAACTACACATCACTCACTTCACTTATTACCGAACAACTTACTAACACATCACTTATTTACCGAACACACTAACAATCACTTATTTACCGAACTGCACTAACAATCTATTTACCGAAACTCATCACTTATTTACCGAACAACACTAACAATCATTTATTTACCGAACTGCACTAACATCACTTAAAACAATCACTTATTTACGAACTGCACTAACAATCACT